ACATGATGTAATCTATGCAGAAATAGAAGTACAATGATGTACACCTGAAATTTTTACAATGTTATAAACCAATGTTACTGCAATAAACAAAAAATTTAAAAAAAAAAAAAGAAGAAATGGAGAACCTGAATAGCCCAATCACAAGCAAAGAGATTGAAACAGTAATCAAAAACCTCCCAAAAAACAAAAGTCCAGGACCAGATGGCTTCTCTAGAGAATTTTACCAAACATTCAAATAAGATATAACATCTATCCTTCTCAAAATATCCCAAAAAGTAGAGGAAGATGGAACACTTCCCAACACATACTCTGAGGCCAACATCACCCTTATACCAAAGCCAGACAAAGACAATACTAAGAAGGAAAACTACAGACCAATATCGCTGATGAACATAGATGCAAAAATCCTCAACAAAATATTGGCAAAACCAGTACAGCAATACGTTAAAAAGATAATACACCATGATCAAGTGGGATTTATTCCAGGGACACAGGGATGGTTCAACATCCACAAATCAATGTGATACACCACATTAACAGAACAAGGAATAAAAACCACATGATCACCTCAATAGCTGCAGAGAAGGCATGTGACAAGATACAACATCCATTTATGATAAAAACTCTCAAAAATGGGTATAGAAAGAAAGCACCTCAACATGGTAAAGGCCATATATGACAAACCCACAGCCAACATCATCTTCAATGGGGAAAAACTGAAAGCCATTCCTCTGAAAACAGGAACAAGACAAGGGTCGCCACTCTTATTCAACATAATACTGGAGGTTTTGGCCAGAGCAATTAGGCAAGAAAGAGGAATAAAAGGAATACAAATAGGCAACGAAGAAGTGAAACTCCCGCTGTTTGCAGATGACATGATCTTATATATAGAAAACTATAAGGAATCCATTGGAAAAATATTAGAAATAATCAACAACCACAGCAAAGTTGCAGGATTCCACATCGATTTACAGAAATCAGTTGCATTTCTATATGTCAACAATGAACTGACAGGAAGAGAACTCAAGAAAATCCCATTTACAATTGCAACAAAAAGAATAAAATATATAGGAATAAATTTAACCAATGAAGTGAAAGACCTATACAATGAAAACTATAAGACATTATTGAGTGAAATCAATGATGACATAATGAAATGGAAAAATATTCCATGCACATAGATTGGAAGAATAAACATAGTTAAAATGTCCATACTACCTAAAGCAATCTACAGATTCAATGCAATCCCAATCAGAATCCTAAGGACATTCTTCACGGAAATATAACAAAGAATACTAAAATTCATATGGGGCAACAAAAGACCCCGAACAGCTAAAGCGATCCTGAGAAAAAAGAACAAAGCAGGAGGCATCACAATCCCTGACTTCAAAATACACTACAAAGTGATAATAATCAAAACAGCATGGTACTGGTACAAAAACAGACACACAGATCAATGGAACAGAACTGAAAGTCCAGAAATAAAACCTCACATCTATGGGCGGCTAATCTTCGATAAAGGAGCAAAGATCATACAATGGAGAAAGGAAAGTCTCTTCAATAAATGGTGCCAGGAAAACTTGGCAGCCACTTGCAAAAGAATGAATGTAGACCATCTGCTTTCACCATACAGAAAAATTAACTCAAAATGCATCAAAGACCTGAAGGTGAGACTTGAAACTACAAAACTCCTGGAAGAGAATATAGGCAGCACACTATTCGTCATTGGTCATAAAGGGATCTTCTCGAATTCCATGTCTATTCGGAAAAGGGAAACAAAAGAAAAAATAAACAAGTGGGACTTCATCAGATTAAAGAGCTTCTACAAGGCAAATGAAACAGGATCAATATGAATAGGCAACCCACCAGCTGGGAAAAAATATCTGCAAACCAAATATCTAACAAGGGTTTAATCTCCATAATATATAAAGAACTCACACACCTGAATAACAAAAAAAAAAAAAAAACATCAAAAAATGGGCAGAGGAAATGAACAGACACTTCTCCAAAGAAGATATACATTCCAGTACTCTTCAGTTTTCCAGTGACAGAAGAAAAAGACCATGGAGAGTGAAAGAGCTGCATAGTCCCAGGGGCTGCTACATGCAAACCAGGATGCCTGGTCACTTACTGTCTTACTTGGGGGTCCTCCTGGACATCCCTCATCACCATGTTTCCATCATCCTCCCGGCGGTGTGAAGGCCAAGGCTCATATCCACCATGTTCATAACGAGGGTTCCTTTTGCCAAAATTACCTCGGAAAGAACTCCAAATTTTATTTCTTCCTTGAGGTGAGCTACCACCACCATTGTATTCTGAGAAGGGGAACAAAAATACACGTTTGAAGACACATCAGTGGTCCACTTACCATGTACTACGTCTTAGGCTAACACCAAGGGAGGGCAAGCAAAGTGCCAACCTACCCTAAGGGACCAATCCCACAAACCCCAGAAAGGAAACTCCTCTGCCTGTCCAGATAGGAGAGCATTATCTGACAGATGGCACTCGCAGGGAAGGAATCTTAGAGGAGGAGGAGGAGGAGGAGGGGGAGAGAGAAACTGTGTTGAAAAAATGGAGCAAGATTTATAAAGAACAGAGGTGCGTGCATCCCTGGGTTAGACTGGACACCAGCCATACACTGAGAAAGCATGTGAATCTTGCCTTCTTTCAGACCTATAACAACCACACCAGTACCTGGGAGGGAACCCAGCTTCCCAGATCCAATCAGCCACCAAACTGATTGCACTAACAATCAGCAAGCTGTCCTTCCTTTGCCGGCGTAGGACAAGCTTTAATGTCAGGTGGGACTGATGTAACAGCCTCCAGCGTTGCTCTCAACAATATTCTGTTTGAAATATCCAGAGTGAGCTTTCCTTTGCCCAGCCTGACATGCCTTTCAGATCAGGAGACAACTCTTTTTAACTTCAGCTCTTCTAGAAGGGTCTGAATGACCAACTGGAATGATGTATCAACTACCTTATCTGAGTGTTCAGGGATTCTTCTTTTTTCTTTCTATTATTGGTTTCTAATTTGATTCCATTATGGTCAGAAAACATAGTCTGTGTGCTTTCAATTCTTTTTAAATTTGTTGAGATTTGTTTGATGGCCCAGGAGAGGATCTATCTTGGTAAATGTTACATAGACACTTGAAAAAAAAATTGTACTCTGCTGTCGTTGGGTGGAGTGTTCTATTTACATCATGTAGATCCTCTTAGTTTATTGTGTTCTTCAAACCTTTTATATCCTTGCTGGTTTTGTCTCTAGTAATTCTATCAATTTCTCAGAGGGGGGCTGTTGAAGCCCCCAACTATAAGTATGGACATGGCTATTTCCCCTTTCAGCTCCATCAGATTTTGCTTTGTGTACTTTGAGGCTCTGTTGTCTGGTGCATACCCATTTAGGACCATTATGTCTCCCTGGTGGATTGATCCTTTTATCATTATGTAATGCCTCTCTTTGTCTCTTATTAATTGTGTTTTCTCTGATGTCTACTTTATTGGATACTGTAGCCACAGGTATGCTTGTAGAGTGTCTTGGTTGCATTTCACCCTGTATTCACTCCTAGGATTTGTGTTGCTGTTCACTGCGCACCCCCACAACACTCCCCACCAACATTTGTAACTCATCATATGGAGAGATTTGGAAGTTTTTTTTGGCATCTACAGAAATAAGATAGTCTCAGTTCTGTTTCCCATGGGTGTATTCACTAAGGGTGTTTTATTTTTACCACATTCAAGTGAAACAGTGTACTAGTAGATAATAATCCTAGTGGTCTGGGAGAAGGAAGGATTACTCAGGTAATTAGGGTGTTAGAAACCAGCTTCCTTTTGGGTTCTAATATTTATGGTTCTCTAGGTTTGTGTGTTGTGCATTTTGTACATTAATTACTCCATGTTGTCTGAGGATACACTTATGAGCAAAAGTCCGTTCACGGCTGATCACTCCATGATGTAGTCATTATGACCAGACCTCAGATGAACTCCTCTGAGAAGTCATTGTTTTCACTGTGTGGCCCGCTGTCAGGGCAATCCTGCTGCTGACAACATTTGGGACCTTCCCTGTGTGGCACTGGAAGTGAAATTAGACATGAATCGAGCATTTGACCCAGAAATGCCACTTGCTCAGTCCCCAGAACTTGGAGGCAGCCTGGAGTGTTCTCTTTCTCTCACACTCCACATCCAATTGATCAGGAAAT